AGGTTCAAATGAGACAAAAACAACGACGCATAGGTTAAAAAGTGCGTAGAATCCAATGAACGTATTCTACAGATCACTACAGGATTTTCAAGGGATTCTCTCGAAGGGTTTTGGAAGGAATTTCAGGAATTTTAGGTCCGTTCAGCATTTTACAATTACCAAACGGTCATACTTTTTTTGTGAAACTTCCAGGATAGTCTTTTGTTTATTTTCGATGTTTTGTGGCTCATTTTTTTAATTTCAGATCTAGTTATGGGTCGACGAACGAAGCGATTTGAGAACGGATGGATGCTTTTTAAAAAAAGAACGTCAAAAATTATTTCAAAGAAGAAACCAGCAGAAATCGAAGAAAACTATGAAACTCAAATGGATTTTGTTGATGAAGAAGATCGGGAACTAGAGGATTTTAAAGAAAAGATTACTGTGAATGATGTTTCGGATTTGTTTGAACTTTGTAAATCGTATTGTCCGACGAAACATCTTAGTGTTTTATTATATTTAACAATGCGTTATTTTGGTATTTCGTGCTGTGAATGTGATCAATTTTTGTCTGAAATTGGAGCTCTGAAAAACAAAACATGTCTTAAACGAGCACGGATTTTTCTTTCGGGAGATCTTGATGATTTTTGTTTGGACGGACGAGGTGGAAAAAGAGGACAGGACTTTTATGACATGTTCCCTGAAATTGAAACCAATGCAAAGTTATTTACTCTTGAAAAGTGTTCGGAAAAAACAGCTGATTTCACAGCACTACAACTGGCAAATTACATTGACGAATTACATTGACGTATTATTTGATTATTAATAACTCGAAAGATGCCGGAGCTCCACTAGTTCGCCCTCCTCAATCCTGTAGGCTTGATCTGAAAAGATGGGGAGCTCGTTTCGAATCGACTGGCAGTCGACCTTATTTTGAAGGCCATAATCGACCCGATGTTCTGGAACATCGTACCAAATTTATTGAGTATTTTCTGTGTCGAAAGAGCAATTATTTTACGATTTGAGCTGGTGAGACACCGATGTGGGTCGTACCAACACAAAATCCTACCGTTTTAATCTGTAAGTGTATTTATGAGGACGGGCTTATCTCTCGCTCTAGTAATTTTGCTTTTATTTCTGCAGTTCATGACGAGAGTTCATTCAAAAGTGGAGAAGTTTGTTCAAAACGCTGGTTTTTTGGAGATCAAGCAACGTTTCACAGTAAAGGACGTGGACAGACGGCAATATTCTCCTGCTTTATGGTTCAACATCCATCTGGCCCTTTCTTTGAATTGACTGCAACTGAATATCAGGATGCAGTAGCAAAGTTTCCGAAGCTAAATGAACAATCAGATCTCAGTTATACTGAACGTGGAGCGTGCGCTTCTATCGTCGTCGGTCGTGATGCCTATTTTGACAACTCAACGGTGCTTTATCAGTTTGAAAGAATGTTTAAAATGTTGCAATTTCATTCGGAACTCAAAAAATGTGCAATTGAATTTGTGGTAGATAATGGCAGAACCCACACTGCTCGATCTTACTGCTTAAATGGCTTCGGGCGAGGTAAAAATACGAGATGTCCAGTTAAAGCTATTGACTACACAGATGCCAATGGTAAGAAAAAAACTCTCCAGTGTTATCATCGAACAGGGAAATTTAAGAAACAAAGTAAAGGATTACTTCAAATTGCTTTGGAGCTGAAAGTGACGACGGATTCTGATTTGAAACTGAACGAATTAAAAGCTCTCTTGTCTAATCATCCGGCATTTGCTAATGTAAGTAAAACCCTACAGCACCATCTCTCAGTTGTCCTTCATCTTTCTTTCTTCCTGATTTTCTTAGAAGTCACGTCTTGAGCAATTAGGAGAAAATACGGTGTCAAAGTTATCTTTAGTCCAAAATTCCATTCAGAATTAAACGCAATTGAAGGCTTATGGCGTAGTCAAAAACAGTACATTCGATCACGTACTGATCAAACCTTTCGAATAATGCTTCGTTTGATGAATGAATCACGACTCAATTTCAAAGAAAAACAGTTACATTTAAAACTATTCCATCGTTTCTGGAAATGTCTGAGTGCTTATGAAAGTGGCCAGTCGTATTAGCAGGTTCTTCAACTCTTCTTTAGTAATTTAACCCGTGGAACAGAAAAAGGACATGCTCGAGTTAGTAACTCTAGTCTTCAGAATGTTTAAGCCGTTTCTAGTCATTTAAACTTCTTTATTATCGTTTTTTCTAGCTTTTTCTCATGTAATGTTATTGAAGCACTGATATTTTTAACCAAGAAACAGTAGAATCCAATCCCTTGTGGCATTTGTCAATTGTTTTATCATGTGAAGCCCTACTTCTTGACGATTTTCTAGAAAAGCACCTGAAATTCCTTCCAAAACCCTTCGAGAGAATCCCTTGAAAATCCTGTAGTGATCTGTAGAATACGTTCATTGGATTCTACGCACTTTTTAACCTATGCGTCGTTGTTTTTGTCTCATTTGAACCT